CGAGCATTTCGAATCGATGCCAGTACCAAAGTTTCGATCGGTTCCTCCGTAAGAGTAGTTGGAACAGTTCCGGACGGAGGTCCTTCCACGCGGAGATAAAATTCATAAAATTCATTACCGCGATATACAAATTCATCGTAAAATTGAAAAACATGTGAGTGTGACATTTAAGTGGTTTTCGATAGTTAAGGTGACACGAAAGGGTCATTCTATATATATATTATATATAGCGGAAAACTATTTATCTAACTTTTCTCCACAGTGGGTGCACCGAGTAATCGGAAACTTTAACGCGTGGATTTAAGTGCGAGCGGTTTCGCAGAGCCAGAAAGCGTTCCGGACATTTCTGGCTCTTGGCCGTTCAAACGGAATTAATAATGCACTCCCAGAGGCCTCCATCGGCAGAACCAAAGTACGGCGGCTCCATTTTGGAAATCAGCCTCGAAGTTAACTCGTAAACAGCTTCCCGTCTGCTCGGCTCGAAGTGGCTCCCATCGAGGAAACGCGACGATTACATTTCGGGGTATAAAATCAGGATCGGAGTGAATCCTCGTTGGTGTAAGAAGGGGGTTAGGTTGGTTCGATAATGACTCGTAGCTTGCAACGTTTCTCCAATTTCCTTGATATTCCCGTCGAAGGGTCCTTCCGGTCGAGCGGCCTAAGGATGCCGGGGATGCCTATGGGGTCCTTCGTCCAAAGGGCCCACGGCGTCTGGGAGTTATATTAATTTCATATCCCGCCCAACGTCGCGAAGGGCTTTCAATTATCCATTTATTACCGACGTTCAATCCGAAGCTTCTCGCCAGCTCGTCTACATGCCTCCTCTTCAAGATATCGTCTAGATGCGAGGGAGTGGCGAAAGGCTATTAATTTCGATTAGTCGCCACGAAGGGACTGCCGTTCAGTGGCCGATCAATCCGGCTAGAAATTCTCTCCTATTAATATGCAGCCCTTCCGGAAAATATTGCCACCGTCCGATCGATAATCACCCCTTCTGGGCACTCTTTTAAGGTGGAACGAAAGGGTCATTCCATACATACATATGAAACGTCAAATTTTTAGATGCCCCAAGGAAGAACGTGGTGCTCGTGAAATTTCATTTTTGATAAACAATTTTTTTTCCTATTTATCCCAGACTAGAGCCAAGAATATATATTTTTTTATTTGAAAAAATGAAATTTCATAAGCCGAAGGTTTTCCTTAGGGCCTTCACAATCACGTGCTGAAGTTTCGAGTAGGCGAGTCTAGTCGGCGTAGAACGTGTAGGAATAATAATATAATGTAAACGTTTAGGGGGAGTGCTCAATGTACGATGTTGTAATGCTCGGTTTACGGGTATATAGCAATTCGCAAGTTGCGCCCGGTTTAAACCCCATATCATTTGAATACCGAATCGTGCACATTTTGCCGTGTCAGGTGGCCGTCAAATTTTGATAACCAAAACTCGGCGTGACTACCGAGGCAACTAATATAAAAAATTCACATGGGACATTACTCTCGCTCGAAAAGTAATAACGCTCAGAAAAATCACAATTGTGTATAAATGCTACTTAATGGAAGTTTGAGAAAACTGCAGGAAATCGAGAAGATTTTAGGATCTCTTTTTTAGCTCCCCTGAAGGAGGCTGCGGTCCAAGTTGCTTCACTCTCAGAGATCGAGCACCCCTTCGTCCCCCAAGTGCGTCCACTTCCTCCATCCCTGATCGTCCGGTCACCCCAAGGCTAGTTTCTCCGTAGACCCCTTAAGCTTAACTATCCGCAGAAGTTGGAATCGGTGGGTACCTCGCGACGAACCTCCCAGACTCACCCCTGGACCGGCCCAACTCGTACAGCCTGCTCATACCTATATTAGTTGCACAGAGAGGAAAGCGAACTACCCCCGGAGCCCATTGGCTGGAACCAGCAGCAAGTTGGCAAACTTCTTTCGAAAGGAAAATCCAGAAACGAGCAAAAGTTAAACCAATGCCAGAAGGCTTATACGGTAGAAAAACAAGCCAAAGAGGAGCTGGCAAATTTCTAGAAGAAGAGAAATCTAAGTACGAAGGAGAGTTCAATGAACATATTTATGTATGGTGGCCATTCATCATCCCACGTGGTCTTCTTATCACCTCCAATTTACCCGAACTAGTATCGACAGCAAAGCAACGAACTCACCCTTCGGACCACTTCCACCCCTCTACTTCGCCACCCCAACACGTACAACCTAGTCATAGCTATATTAGTTATAGAGGGGCGACAAGGCGAGGCATCCTGAAGCCAATGGCTGGAAATAGCACAAGGTTCGTCCTCGTCGATGGACGCAAATCCCTACCCCATGGCTTTCATAGAAGTACCCAGGAACCTTGAAAAATGACATTCGGCGACTCCATCTTAAATTCGATTTAAAATCTACCATTAGGCTCATTTTGATATCGGAGGAAATTTACGCCAAGTACAGCTCCGGATTAACGGGGGTGGCTTGATTCGGTCGATCTAAACAGCCCTAAGCCCGAATTTACCACCATGATGGAAAAGGGAGGAAAGTTATTCGAAGAGCGTCAGGGAGGAAGGGTTCCCTCGAAGGATCGTACGAGAATATTGATTCCGTGTTAAGATTGCCTCGGGCAACGTGGCAAGACACACGGACACAAAATTTAGTCTTCACTGGACCCCGATGGAGGTGCTCCTCGCGACCATTACATTTATAAACAATTTTAGAAACTCCTTAAATCATGAACGCATAGAGTACAGACGACATGCCCAAGTACGCATTAATCAAAACCTCACGGCAGCCCTCGCGACATTTTGCAAAAATATTTCTACAAATGAATTCTGATAAAATATACATAAATATACATATAGGGGGTGTCTGCTATTCCACCGAAAGCTGTCATCTTTAACCGGCATTACGAATGAATATAAAACGCCCTAAATCGGCATAAGGCGGGCGCAACCCTTCCTGGAGAATTCGGACCCTCGTTGGATGGAATCGGAAGCTGGGCCCTTAAATCCCTTGGCTAGCAGATAAGACGCAATTAAGACCGGGTCCCGGGGTTTCTCGTAAGCGCTTCGTCTCGCGGCCCACATAAAGCCACCCTCGGGACCTGGCGTGGGTGGGCCGAGAGCCATAAAGACGTACGCCTACCCGCCGCCTTCGCGGCACGTCCGCCGACAGGGATCCAAGGGGGCGGCTCCGACAGGATCTTGGTTAATCTTACTAATCTTCGGTGATTGCGCGGCCCTTTGCCGGTCTGGCGCACAAGTCAGCCGAGACCGCGGCCCAACGGAATTACGTATCCGCCAATCACCATCTCGACGCGCCGAGACGGCGCCTCCACCCCCTGAAAAGTTCGATCGAGTATATCAGATTAAATGACATTACGTACGGCATTACGTATGGCAGACTGAGTGAAAATGTGAAAAACCGAGTCCCTGGAATTTTTTCTCATTTTTCCGGGATATCGTTCCTTTGAGGGAAAATGTCAATCTCGCGATGTCGAGATGCGTCCACCTCGCGTCGTAAGAAGAGGGCCGAGGGACTCCAGACATTTTCTGTTGAATCAGCCGAGTCCCTTGCGGACCTGTCCGGTAGATAGGACTTTTAGAAGGATTTTTTCACTTTATACCGAAAGAAACGGCGGGCGATCTCGGGATCGCGGACTACGCCGGTAAATTGGGTAGGGTTATCAAAATGGGGGCGCGCTCAGCCGGCGGACAGAATGTCGGGAACTAAGCTGTTTTTGTTCGGTTTACGGGAAAGTTTCGAGGGGGTTGCTTACCGGCCGCCAGCAGTACGACCAACTTCGAACCACCGCGCGTTTACTTAATTGAAAACCGACCTAAGTACGACCCTTCCGCCCCTCGTGGGAAACGGTTCATCGACGGGAGCGATAGTCCTCCGGACACGCCCGCGATCGAGAAGATTAATACTAGTAATACCGTTAAATGCACTTTACCGCCCTCGAGGCAGTCCTCGAGAATGCAATTACAAAAGGACTTAACATAGAAAAGGGCATTTTTAAAGATACTTGGTATTATACTCCAAGGAATGAGAGCTTATCTATCAGAAACGGGGAAAAAAGAGTTAAGCAGAGAAAATGGACGAACGCCTATGTGTAAATATCTAACGAAACGCTATTATGAATTACTCAAGCCTTAAGAAATGTCAGAGTTTATCGCGCTAAGTGTGGCGAAAGAAACAGATAAACCGCGTTTATTACGCATAACGGGGACGAGTGACTTTTCCTCCCTGTAAGAATGTTACACCATACCCTAGAAAAATTCTATCCCCTTCATTTAGTTTCCCGGAAGCCATCGCGGCTGATTATTCAGACTATTAACGTGAGACGCAAATGGCTGCCGCGAAGTGCGACTATCTCCAAATTTCGGGAGTTTAATAGCGATCCTTTCCAACCGAGTCTCCCATAAGCCATTAATCCGAAAAATTCCAGTGCAACAATGGCGGCATTCGTATCCATCGTCGCTATACTAGGGAAATCTCGACATCCAGGAAACACGATTCGGTACTAGTCATTTCACTCCTTAAGGTGATATGAAAGAGACATCGAAGAGCTTTCACGAAGCTTCCCTCCGAGCTGGGTTTACCGAATCGTTTCAACCCTTACAATATAAATACAGAGACTATAATAAAAACCCCAACCCCCATGAAATTAAATCTCTTATGCCGAATCTTAAAAACGTCTAAATAAATTTCTTAAACATTGAAATCTCATGGTTGTCAGAATCTTCCTTAAGGCCTCTACATTCACATTCGGTGCATCTAGCTCGGCGAAAAGTTTTATCGATATTTTCGCTTTTTGGTATATACATATGTGACACTTTCATGACGGCTTAAGTGTCTTGCGCTCTTACGGGATTCTATCGTGGATCATTTTTATACAAGCGTGATAAGAGGATCGATGGCGCCCACGATTGAGCGCCCCTGTGTCCTTGTCGCGGCGGCATGAGGAAGAAACTGAAAACCAGTGCTCGTATATGCGTGTGTATGAAAGTGAGAACACTCACGCGTACCATGTAACGTGAGTGCCTGCCAAGCATCGAGACGATAACCGGCAAGACCGTCGACCGACTCGTAACTTCGGGCCCCTCGCCGAGCATCGTTTCAGCATCCTTTAAACTCCGATTTCTCATTTATCTCCGGCAAAGATAATTCCCCCGTCACTTCGTCATTATACGTACTCTCGTTCGACTCAAGTTGGTCGACATATACCGTGGGGATTAACGTTCGATCTCTCGACAGAACCCTGAGGAGCATGACGACGGACGTGCGCGGTGTTTTGCTCTCCGGCACGGAGCTGGCCAAGTAAGCAAAAAATCGCGAATTACGATTTATAAATGACTATAAGTGAAACCCGAGACGAGTACCACCTCTTTCCAACGGGAAGAGAGTTATCAAGAACCTGGAATAAAATCTAGAATACGTGCGACGTGCTACACTTGTTACAGTGGTACTCATCTCGCGCTTATCGCGTGCGCACATGGTACACCATCGAGCTGGTTTCATTTTTATCATTCCGGTTCCATTCGGATTTTAAAATGATTTTTATGGAATTTTATAAGGAATGTAGATAAGTAAAATGATTCTTAAGGAATGTTCCCACTCTTGGCAGTAATGATCCCTTGATGAGATTCCTGTATAGAAAGCGTGTAATGAAGAAATAATGGAATTAAATTTCAGGAGTATTCGCGAGTCCCTGATCAACGATGTAAACGAGATGAAGAAGAAGCTTCCGGATTTCGCGCCGGGTTTGGCGATAGTTCAAGTAGGAAATCGGGAAGATTCGACGGTTTACATCCGAATGAAGATGAAAGCCGCCAGCGAGATCGGAATAAAAGCCAGCCAGTTAAAAATCCCCAATACCGTGACGGAGACGGAACTGATCAGCAAGATAAACAAATTGAACAACGATCCATCGATCCATGGAATAATCGTCCAAATGCCGCTAGACAGCTTAAACAAAATAAATTCCCACTTGATAACGGACACGGTATCCCCCGAAAAAGACGTCGACGGGTAAGCATAAGCTCTTAATTTCCTCCGACCGAAATGAAAAAGAAAAGTAAACGAGGAAAAAATCTTCCCAGAAGTCACATAAAAATACCCACAGGCCTACATACTCTTATCAGGACATTATGCAACCGGTGGCAATACATACCATAGTTAGCTTTGAATTTGCAACCAGTATAATACAGATAAACTTCTCAGTAAACATGATTGGGTCGCTCTTTGACACGTAAACCGACATAAATCGATTCTCGGTTGCACAAGCCCAAGATACTCCAGAAGCTCCTCGGGGAGCTCCAGATAAGACGTATCGTTAGTTTATTAATTCTCAACTAACATCAATGTATGACATTTTTTCCGCGATGAAATTACAGATTGCACACCATCAACGAGGGCAAGGTGTCCATCGGGGACATGAGTGGATTTCTCCCGTGCACCCCGAATGGCTGTATCGAGCTGATCAAGATGTTAGTCCTTCGAGCCTTCCATAAAAAAATCACCAGATTTCACGATTGACATCGAATCATGGATTATTTCTATATTTTCAGGAGCGGAGTACCCATTGCCGGGGCTCAGGCCGTTGTTCTCGGCAGAAGTAAAATCGTGGGCACTCCGGTCTCCGAATTGTTGAAATGGAACAACGCCACGGTTACGGTGTGCCATTCGAAAACCAAGGACCTCCCTAAAGTCGTAAGGTTCCACATATCGATGGCAAAATTAACATCGCTTCCGATGTTTCCAAGTTAGACGAAGAGGTAAAGATAAATCGTTTTCAACTCAGGTTTCCCAGGCAGAGATTTTGGTGGTGGGCATCGGACAGCCAGAACTCGTTAAAGGGTCTTGGATCAAGCCAGGTGCCGTGGTGATAGACTGCGGAATAAATTGCATTCCAGGTGACAATGACTATACTTGCATTGCACGCCAGTTGCCCAAGTGATAAAACGTTAGGATCAAATATCGCAAGATAAACCCACTCGGTGGTCCGACCTAAACGCTTAATCTAAACTCGCTTACAAGTAACAGGACAATCGCAGTCCGGCAAATCGCACCTAGACTCTTAACCTGAACCTCGAATTCGATTTTTTTCAGACCCCTCGAAGAAGTCTGGACAGCGTCTCGTGGGAGACGTGGCATTTTCCGAGGCGGTGCAAGTCGCATCGTACATCACCCCGGTGCCAGGAGGAGTCGGCCCGATGACAGTGGCAATGTTAATGAAGAACACGGTGATTTCCGCGCAAAGAGCAGCAGCAAAGCTGCTAGATACCAGATGGAATCTAGGAACCCTCAGACTACAGCCTCAAAGTCCCGTCCCCAGCGACATAGAGATATCCAGAAGCCAAGAGCCTAAGCCAATCGCAGTCCTCGCGGAGGAGATCGGAATTCTCCCTACCGAGGTCCATCCTTACACCGACAAGAAGGCCAAGATCGACCTGGCGGTGCTAAAGAGGCTGGAGAAGCAGCCCGATGGAAAATTCGTGGTGGTCGTCGGAATAACCCCGACTCCATTAGGCGAGGGAAAAAGCACGACAACGATAGGTCTGGTGCAAGCTCTAACAGCCCACAGGGGGAAGAATTCGTTCGCCACTTTGAGGCAGCCTAGTCAAGGTCCCACTTTCGGGATAAAGGGTGGAGCAGCCGGTGGTGGATATTCCCAGGTGAAAGACCTCTTCCGGAGGAGTCTTCGCGTATACGGGATTGGTTGACAAATATCTGGTTCCAGGTCATCCCAATGGAGGAGTTCAACCTCCACTTAACCGGAGACATCCACGCCGTGACGATAGCTCACAATCTCCTGGCAGCGCAAATCGACGCTCGTTGTTTCCACGAAGCCACGCAAACGGACAAGGCCCTTTACGACCGACTGGTCCCAGAAATAAAAGGAGTCAGGCAGTTCTCAAAGATCCAACTTAAAAGACTGCGAAAACTCGGGATCGAGAAGACCGACCCAAAGGCTTTGACTCCGGAGGAGCAGAAACGATTCGCGAGGCTCGACGTGGATCCGAATAGCATCACTTGGCCCAGAGGTTCGAGTGTTCGATGCTCTTAGAATTTCCTTTAAGCTTAACAAAGAAGCACTGTACTATGACATAATCGCAAACGTTTCAGTGGTCGACGTAAACGACAGGTTCCTGCGCAAGATAACCATTGGGCAGAGTCCTACAGAGAAGGGCTTGACTCGAGAGACGTCCTTCAGCATCTCCGTGGGGTCGGAGATTATGGCAATTCTTGCTCTTGCCACCAGCCCCGAAGACATGAAGCAAAGGCTCGCCAACATGGTCGTCGGATTCAGCAAATCTGGAGAACCACTGACTGCGGAGGACTTTGTGAGTCGGATGAACGGAATGAATTTGGACGTCGATGTGTAATCCTCAGCTCATCTCTGAATAACGTCTTTTTTAGGGCATGACTGGAGCTATGGCGATTTTATTGAAAGATGCCATTCAGCCGACCATGATGCAAACTTTGGAAGGAACACCGGTGCTAATTCATGCCGGTCCCTTTGCAAATATTGCTCATGGATGTTCATCGATAATAGCAGATGCTGTGGCCTTGAAACTAGTCGGACCGGATGGATTCACCGTGACGGAAGCAGGATTCGCTACCGACATCGGCATGGAGAAGTTCTTTAACATTAAATGCCGAACCTCTGGGTATACACCAAATGTCATCGTCTTGGTGGCCACCGTCAGGGCGCTGAAGATGCACGGTGGTGGTCCACCGGTCACTCCAGGAGCAAGACTGAAAAAGGAGTACACCGAGGAAAATGTAGATCTGCTTAGGAAAGGCCTACCGAATCTCGAGAAGCACATCAGCAATGGAATCAAGTTTGGAATTCCTGTCGTAGTTGCAATCAATGCTCACAGGTTTGGATGAAACATTGCTTCTATATAGAATTAATTTATTAACATTTTGATCGGAGGGAATTGTTTTTAGCACCGATACTCAAGCGGAGCTAGACCTAGTGAAAGAAGCTGCCATTGCCAGCGGAGCTACGGATGCTGTGGTGTGCAACCACTATGCAGAAGGCGGTGCTGGAGCGGTTGCACTTGCAGATGCAGTCATCGCTGCCAGCGAAATACCCAGCAAATTTAAATTACTGTACGACTTGAACGACAGCATCGAGAAGAAAATTGAAACCATCGCTAAAGAGATGTACGGGGCTGGTCAGATAACTCTGACCGACAAGGTAGGAAGAATTGTTTCTAACCGATCTTTAAATAACGTCAGAATGTTCACCTTGGTCGATTTTTAGATTAAAGAGAAAATAACCGAGTACAAGAAACTGGGCTATGACAAACTACCTATTTGCATGGCGAAGACTTCTAATTCTTTGACCGGTGATCCTTCGATTAAAGGAGCTCCCACCGGATTCACAATAGAAGTTACGGACATATTTGTGTCAGTAGGCGCAGGTTTCATTGTACCGAAGATCGGAGAGGTTTGTGTAGTTCTATCTACAACAGAAAATGTGAAATTCTCTTGTATAATTGCGGATCACTTATTTCACTGCGATGCGAGAAATGAATATTGTTCATCTTTTTTTTTTCCAGATTATGATGATGCCAGGTTTACCTACTAGACCATCCATTTATGACATGGACTGGAACACCGAAACAGACGAGATCGAAGGTCTATTTTAAGTATCTGCGATACATAGACGAAGAACGCATGCATCGTCGTTAAATACATTCCAATCCGTCTTACGAACTGCACCGACATGCTTCACACGTTTACAAGTCATTCATCTGTTTTTCATCGTTGATATGTATTTTATATGGTGGTTACAATATATAAATTACCCCTCGTAAACCTGTTTTTTTTTCCTCAGTCATTAGCAATCTTTTCCACACATATCCAGTAGATGTATTGGATTCTAAATTAAGAAGAATCAACAATTACATATTATTCGCACGAGACTATTTTATTTCGGTACTGGGATTTTGATATAACATGAATACTAGTTGAAAAGATAGTTCCACACACTTATATTTAAACCTTCATAATGGCTCTGAATTTTGCTGATCGAGATCGAGGATTTGTTTCGACTTCTTCGGTTTCAGGCGTTATAACATGTTTGTGCAACATGGACCAAGGACTTCTTGTAATTGTTTCCATCTCATTGTGGTCGAACCATTTACTACAATTTGTATATCGCGGTGGAAGTATATTGATTTGATTGTTCTCAAGGCTTCCTGTAAGATGTCTCTTGATAATCGTATCTTCAAGAGAATGAAAAGATATAGTGATTAGACGTCCCCCTTGCTTCAAGTACCGCTCAGCTATGAACATGCCATAATTAATTTCATTCAATTCATTGTTTATAAAAATTCTAAAAGCTTGAAACGTTTTTGTTGCACTATGTGCATATCTCCCTAATCGATCCGTTCTGTGACCATCTCCTGATACCGAAGCAACCAATTCTGCCAACTGACTAGTTGTCTTTAGGGTTTTGAACATATACCTAGCGTCGATAATAGCACGAGCAATTTTCTTAGCAGCCTTTTCTTGTCCATAAACTTTTAATATTTGAGCAAGATCCGTTTCATCGGCCCTAGCAAGGACATCGGCAACGGTGGGTTCACCTGGGAATCTAGAACCATCCATTCGCATATCTAGTGGTCCATCTTTTGACAGTGAGAAACCTCTGTCAGCGACGTCAAACTGCATCGACGAACAACCAAAATCAAAGAGAAATCCATCTACGCTACTTGGCATTACTTTGTGTTTCTTTAGTAATTCTGGTAATTCAGAAAATCTTCCCAAGAGAGGTATCACTTGCCCAGGGTATTCTTCTGCAAGACCTTCTGCGTACCCATAAGCTACTGGATCTCGATCGAGAGCATATACCTTTACATTTGGCGAGGATTGCAAAATTTGACGTGTGTGACCACCTGCACCAAATGTCATGTCTATAAAAGCACTTCCTGAAGTGGGTTTCAAATACTTCATTACTTCTTTAGACATGACGGGCACATGGTGCTCCTTTGTACTTCCTTGTTGACATTCATTGCTTAATAATCTGCTATTTATATAATTGCCAAACAGAGCTAAACGACTTTGGTACACCTCAAGATGACATCTGATCCCAATCATATTAATTAAAATTAACTTCACGATTCTTTATGATCTTTATCTTTTTTATCTTTTTCTAAATAATATTGTACCGTCCTTCTTGCTTTACTGAAGTAACTCCTTTCCTCTTCTGCAAAGAATTCTTGAAGTTCTGGAGAAAGTGCTAAATTGCACTGTTCCACCGTGAGACCGCTAGCAGTAGAAGTTAACGTACGCTTATAGAGCGAGCCGTAATGATTCGATGCCAGTCGTTTTAAACTGGCGTAATACCTATCGCATAACTCCTTGTCAACCTGAGAGCTCTCCCCCTTTGCGAAAGCAATCTTTATCTGGTCTCGAATGTGCAGGCCCAAATCTCTGCTCAAACAAAAGCCACGCATGAAATATTGGTATTAATCTTAAGACATCGGATATTTTACTACTATAGATTGAATACAATCATGGAATGAATACAGAAAGCAGGGTTTATTAAAAGTGTAAGAAATCTGAGCAGCGTCGTACATAACCTCAACGCGAATAAAACCAGCGTAATCAATACCAAGCTCACCTGCCAGTTTTTGTTGGATCGAGAGGCCACGATTCTAATAATCTCATATAATTCTTGTACGTCCCAGACATATTATATTATCATTGCCACAGCCTAGTTCTGATAATGTGAAATAGGATCCAATTGATTTTTACCCAAACGGATCCGTAAAAATGGAACAATCGAATTTAACAACAAAAAATCCGCTGAATTAAAAATACACAAGTCAAACAAGTTAATTGTTAATTATAACAATTTATAAAGTACAAATATTCGAGAAAAATTATTTCGTTCACCGCACTCGATAAACGAAAACAGAGAGAAAAGATAAGTTGGAAGATTGTCCACAGTTACACAATTATCTGTGTTATTCGATGAAAATGCGAGAAGCTTATCCATTATTGCGGCTCCCAGAATAATATGTAATTACAGCGCCTCTAACAGTCAGGAACCGTACTAATTATTGGGATTCTAATCTCAATCTTTCTAGGGTAATTTCCGAATTCCATGGCACGAGCATAAGAACCGATGCAGAGCACCTGTGTTTACTCCGTTTTTTAGCGTTAGAAATGCTTAAAATCCAATTTTTATCATGAACGATATTGTCACCTGTCAAGTTTTAAATGAAGCAGACAAAGAATCCATTACTCTGTGCGCAGAATGGTCCAACGATCATGTAACAATTTACATTTTAAAAATGGATACGCTCCCATTGATTGGTGAGGTAAGGATAGTATTTTTAAGCAGACAGTTTATGTTTAGATTTCATCGTATTGCCCAATTATCATTGTGATACTATTTTAGATGTCCATGGCACAATTAAAGGATTTTGCTGAGAATTTCCCTGTTACTTTCGACGAATATATAGAAGAAACAAGAAACATGCTTGCTGGTAAGGATACCGATGTCAGTTTTTTCCTTATCGATGACATGTTCAAATGGAGCAAACGATTGTGGACTCGGGGAAAAATAATGGTTCACCCTGTTTCTAAGATAGAAACAATTTCAGACATTTTACATAGATTAATAAATAATTTTAATGACACGGGAAAAATGTTAGAAGAATTGAAACAGGAAAATGATAAATTAAAAAGTGTGCAGCAAAAATTGAATGACCAATTGCAAACAATGATAAGTCTAAAAAATTCTATAGAAAAAGATTTGTATGCAAAATTTCTCCTGCTTTTGAATTCAAAGAAGAGAAAAATCAAGGAACTTCAGGAAGAATCAAAAGAACAGAGTAATGTTAATTCTGCATACAATGCACCTACTGACGAAAGCGAAGGATCCGAGGAAGATACGAGTAAGTCTACAGGTTCCCCAAGAAAGAGGATTAAAAATAAAGTCGTATCTACTGCATCAACTAGTAAAATGACTGGTACTTTTGGTACTTTACTAAATAATGAAAATGCAAATACACCACATAAAGAAATCGAAGAAATCAATGAAAAGCCGATTGATAAAGTGGAACAAAAAGCAAATATCAGGAGTCAACTAACACTATTAGAAAATGATTCCGAAGAAGACATGTTTTCATAATTAAAAAGGGGGATACGCATCCTTTATACTTTCTAAGTCACAGACCCTGAGTCATGCAATCTACATAATTTGTCATTATACATATTTACACACGAGCATTATTTACATTTAGGGTTGCTCGAAAAAGATATGAATTTGTAATATATTTACCTATTTAAAATTGAATCATGAAATATTTAATGAATGTAGGAACTTGAAACAAACTGTAGTTTGTTTCACTGTGACTGCAAATTAGTCGTAAGATAAGAATTGTGCTCCATAGAATGAAGCACATGATTAATCCTGACGAATTCCCTACATCATGAATTATCAATGATGTAAGATTTTTTTAAATATGTAAATTAATCAATTTACTTTACAAATTGTAGTCTTGCAAACCAAAAATTAATTACCTTTTTTTATATTGTATATATACAGAATGAAAATTGAATTGTACATAAATGTGACCTATTTATATTTTACTAATATAAAATGGAACACAACAAACAGAAATATATTGTATACAAATAAAATTTTACATGTAAAATGATTTCATTTAATAATTTAACCCAACACATCATCGACAGAATTTAATATTCACTATTTTATATCAATTCGATAGAAATAATTTGGTTTCATCAGAGACCTTTTAAGATAAGTATGGTCACGAGGTTGTCTATTATGTTCCACTCTGTCATACACGGATTTGCGTTTGACATATCCAAAACGATTGCAAGGAAAGTCAAGCTGACTTGGTTCGATCATTTCCCAGTGCCCAAAGGGACAAGGTTTCTCTTTGTCAAGTATACTCATCGCTCTAAATAATTGAGTACGTGTAGTACGTTCCTTTTTTGGGCCCGTTGGCACTCGAAATAATAAATAATGCGTAAGAGGATAATGGGGTGGTAAACTTATGCTTCGATTAATCATCTCTCTCTCTACGTTGAACAATTTACGTATACTTGCTGTTATACGCTGAAAGTTAAAATTAGTTAATTACTAAATATCCTTGTCTAATGTTAACTCTGTGAAAATTGGTCTTTCAAACCTTTATGTGATCAAAGTCATGAATTCCAATCTTAGGGCACACACAAGCATCGACCCATAACAATCGTCTACCATTAATGAAATTTTTAACGAAGCTGTCCTACGTTAGAAAAGTGTAATCACGTACATGAATATGATTTTAACGAAACATTATTTGAAGTTCATAGCAACTAACAGTATATTGCGGCAACTTAACGTCATTTATCAACCACTTAATAACATCACTAATTTCCCATGTCCAACATGCAGGCATCGATAGGTTATTTACCGCATCTCCAGCTAAAACCACAAGACTCGGAGGTGTTGGCAACCAGGGTTTGTATTTCCTTTGGTAAATTAAGACTAATTAATTAAAATTACAGTTTTACAAAACTAATCAGCTCTAAAATATTAAACGAATAATTTCCTAACTTTTCTTTGGGTACGTCCAAGTACGGCATGAAATGTTGTGGAAGCACAGTTAAATTTGTCATTGTAGTTCATGAATTAACTAGCTGTTAGTAACATAAGAATAAAAAGTAGTAAAGTTTAAAATACAAGAATCCCGAGAATAATAATATATAATGTTGAAGGCACTATTCGTAATTAATGTTTGAAAGTCATTTGTTTCCACTCGTGAGAACTTCCAAGACCAATGTAGTAGGATAAAATGGTGATATAAATAGAAAACGCTGCGACATGTATAGTTTATATCTTGTCGGTCAGGCACAAAGTCTTAATGATACACACTCAGTTAATGGACAAAGACTTGAACGATAATCGGTAATTATTTTACACAAGAACCAGGTTTTATAGGACTTCAATGATTTTTCAATGCTCATTGAGCTTTGTGGCCTTAAAAATATAAGTAACAAATAACGGAATGAAAACTTATTTAAAAAATTATTTTCTTATATTATGTTACAGTGTTTCATTGGAAATACTAATAAATTCAATCATAATCAAAAGCTAAGCACATGATTTTATCGTTACAACCGGTTCAAAAGAGTCTGTATAGACCTGAGTTCTGTGATTAGATCGCCACCGCTAGGTTTGCTAAACAGCGTGGTTAAACACTTTGAAATCACATCTTGGCACTTTGTTATGATTTTCCTTCTAGTATTGTTGTTAGCAATGTTAGAGTTTGATAGGAAATAACTGACAATATTAGCAGTTGATTCAATGAGGTGAAACTCATTGCCTTCATTTAACCACGTTCTATTACTTCCACCGATCATTTTATCGTAAACATCCAAGAGGTCCTCGATTGGCACACCTAATTGCAAGAACGTCGTAATTATGGAACTATTGTTCACACGTAGCCTACAACATCGGATCTCCAATTGTTTTATTAAAAAGTCTATTGGAAAACAGTGCGGGGTGCCTGAATATTCTTGACCGAGTAACTTGATTTTACTCATCAATGTTGCCATTTTGTCTTCGGCAGATGGTGAGGTAACATTCTTGATCTCATTGTCTATTATATTATTCCAAATACCCTGTATTAGCATGGAATCTTGATGACCAGAACAGTGAATGATAGCGAGTTTACATTCCCAAAGTTGAAGAGGCTCCGCATACTCCTCATACAACTGCGTAATGTCAAGCAAAGAGGAATTCAATCTTAACTTGGCATCTCTGACTATCATCGATTCGAAATGCTGTTGCTGATTGCAAATCGTGTCTAATATTAGTTGCTGTATTCTAGCAACCTCAACTTTGTCTTCCAGCTCACGTAAGAAAATCCCTAGATGAGGTGCATAACCAGCTTGATCGCTCCGCATGCACACAACTGCCCGAGCTAAGTACTCGATACGCTGTGGCAATGACAACTCCGACCCAACTTTGGTAGCCAATGCATCGAGAATTTTGGCAGCAGCAGCGTGGTTTTTATTTCTCTCATAAAACTGCCAAAGCAGTTCAGGTGCATTAACGCGAATTAAGTAAGCTTCTAACGAGGGAGTAGCAAGTGCGACTAATTCCCCATGAAGTCCACGTTCTATCATCCAAGTATATACCGCTGCATGAAGTGTCTCACACAACGAATGCAATGCATCGTTTATAATCTCATGCAGCACTTGCTTAGCCGGTGGAACTATAATGTTCGATATAATTTGCTGTGGTGGACCTGGCTTGCTCGGTATCGTTGGACTCAATGGATTTGAAATGCTCTGATTGTACAAGTGATCCAACATGGCAGTGAATTCCTTATAAATCTCCAATCTCTTCGTGTAGGCGACATTTCCTTCTTGATCATCCACCGGTTCATTGTTTTTATAATAATGTGAAGCTGCATTATTAGGATCGATTTTCTCTGCACAGCACAAGCATAATTCCAGCACTCCAAGATAGAAGTGACATGCCACAAACTGTTGACACACTGCTCCTAAATTTAACCTTGGTGCTACTTCCTTGCATAACTTAAGAGCAGATTGCAAATACGATTCCTTCTCTTCAGGATTTGTACAGCTTTTTGCTTTTAGCATGATTTCATTTGCTTTGGAGCATACAGCATCTTCGCTTCTATAGAGATTAGGACAGACCTCTCGCAGCTTAGAACTAACCGCATCAACTGAGGCATTGTCGCCCAGGTAGCTATCGATTAAATGAATAATGAGTAACGAAGATATCTCATGACCAATCAAAATCAAATCTCGAAACGTGGCAGTGGAAAATTGATTAAATTGATCCTTTGACAAGCAGCTTATAATATTGTGTAACTGATTCTCATTTAAAATCTTCCACAAGCCAAGCACCTCGCAAGCATGCGTGATGAAAACTTTCAGAGCATCCAGTGAATTCCTCTCTTCAATGATAGGTTCTTGATACCGCGTCGAGACCGATGCTTCGAAACCATTGGTAACATTTCGTGAGGAACCGAGCTCTTTCGATATTCTAGTATTTTTATTCATAAACGACCGTAATGCTTGCAGATGTCCCAGAATCCATCCAATTTGAGTAGCTGGAACTGTGCTATAAACGTGGATTTTATTGTTCACAGTTTCCTGCTTAATACAGCGGACGTTCCATATAGGCCGAAGTATTCTTCCCACATAAAGGTACAATCCACCGTGCTTTGCAGAGAACTGTTGCAACGTTAAATCCGTTGTTAGACCAATTTGTGCGTGAGTTCTAGATTGCTGACCACGAGGATCAAACTCGTGTATTCGCGGAGTGGACGTGCGAATATCTGCTGTACAAATACTGGACATTCCACTGTGGATGTCCACCGAAGGGGATATAATTATCCGTTGGCCTCCATACAGGAAAAAAGCTCTCGTAGCCCAGTCTGACAACTGAGCATTTTGAGTACTCTCAAGTGTAGCGAGAATAAGACACGTGGCACATGCTTGCTCGGGGGATTGAGTTTGGAAGTAAGCTCGAACGGCATCGGTATCTGGTCCACGTTGTTCCAAAAGAAGTTGGCGTAGAATATCTACAGGTCGTAACTGTATCAAAGTTATCGCTCCCTGTGCCGTGAGGAATATAAACTTTCTTGGTGGCTCCATATGTTGCCTGACCAGCAATGGAGGCTCGCTCTGAGAAGGAACTTGCTTTTCAATCCGAATTGCTGGTTCTCCAAGGATCTCGGCCATTGCCCAAGCTGGACTATCCAGTGGTAAAATACTTTGTGTTTCGGCCAAATGATTCGTGAATGGGTAGGCATCGTTGCTTAAGCACCAGGCAGTCTCCGTATCTCCTCCACAGACTAGAATGACGGTTCCTTTCCGGTAATATGCCATTTGGACTTTCCGCGGTCGCATGACCGGAGCATTGCCTGCATATCCAGGTGGTAATCTAACATGTATTAATTGAAGACACTGCGGTCGCCTCGATGGACTCGTTACCGCAGAGCAACTCAGGTAGAAGCGCGATCCCGTCGCGGCAACAGCAACCAGATTCAAGTGTGCCGATTCATCTTCCGCGATAGCAGAGATGCTGACAAGTGGCCTAAAGTTATTGCTATCGAGAGTTTTAACTACATGAACTGCATTCTGCACTAATGTAGCTTGAGACATGGATGTTACTTTAGATGCACTGCCATCGTCGATGTCCCATACAGTTATCGTCCCCTTATCACCAAGAGTGTATAAGATATTACGAGAATCGTCCACTGAAATTTGTACTACCGCTTCTTCTTCCGCTAAGGCGATCGTGACAAACGAGGGAACCAAAAAAGACAGAGGCCCTTCGGAATGATTGATTTTCTTACAACGCTTTCCAAACCAGCTGCTTTCCGCTTGATAATAGATCTCAAATAATGAACCATTTCTACCACCAAGGAAGATTCTACCACCGGCTGTACTGGCTATTGTTGTAATTGCAATACCATCGGTTGGAACTGTGAAAATTGGTTCTGGGACTAGCTGTATCTCTCCGCCCGAACCTTCTTTGTCTTCTATCGTAACACCAAGGACAGTGATCTCGATCGTTGTCGTAAGTATGAGTAAATACTTGACATAGTTCTGAAAAACTCCTGCTTTTGGTTTTATCAGACCAACGCTGATGATGGTTTCGTTTAGGCCATCGAAATAAGCTACGTCGCATTCGTTCTCCAAGGACCAAATGTAAATATCGCTATCAATGGTAAGCCATGCTTTCGAAATGTCTGTAAATAATCCCATCATACAGTGGCACTGCATGTGGCCAAAATGTTCCATCACTTCGGAGGGAAGAGGAACTTTGCTGTGCATCTTCACCTGATTCATCCCTGTCAGACTCAGAGGTGGTCCAGGCAAACTTGGATAATCGTGATCGTCAAGCCCACTCACTGTCGGTCCACTTTGTGCGTGATATCTCATTAAGTTGATGAAACTTGGGAAATTATTATCAGCCGCTATGTGTTTGTCTACCATTTTCCCGGCTAACTCCAAAGCGTATATTTTCAGAGGCTCCATGTCGGCGGCAATCTTCGCTTAGTGGCGTCGATTCCAAAATTTCGACACTTACGGTCTACCAGTAACAATGAACACGGATGAAATAAGGCACGGCGAATGTGACAACCGACATACGTTAGATTGTTACAATCGAATTTCAAAAATGTTACACACGCCGACACCGGTCTGACACGCGCGAAAAACGCGGCGACCGAACGAGATGCATGCCTCCCCACCAATGATCGGCTATCTCTTAAGACAAGCAACTCCGTCGTAAACTTTTAGAACAGATCTGCGGCTGCTAGAAAAAGCGCGGTGAACGCCATCCTGTCCATGTAAATATGGATGTAATACATTTAAAAAATATAAATAGACGAGTCCTCTTCTTCACTTTTAACGGCTTTCCATCTTTCTGCTTTTCCTGCCTATAACCCACACCTCTCAACAGTTTTTGATTTACAAGCAGAGTTCTCGACCCTGCTTCCGGATTGGACAACGCCGGGCCCAATCCGGAGATGAGATGAAGAGATCCCTGATTTGGGCCGTTATTACGTGTGTCAGGTGGCAAGTACATTAGTTGTCCACATCCTCTACCAGGGGGGCAGCATAGGAGGAAATCGCGCGATCCTACCCGTGAGCAATGTCCCAACTGGTCTATGTTCATCTCTGTTCTAACTCATTTCTGAAATGTAATCATTTTTGTATAGAAATTTCGTGACTAGCAAATTTCGAATGTTAGTGATTCACTCCTTTACTTCGATGGACGTAACAGTCAAGGGCGAGATTCTGTGTTGGAATAACAGCTAACGATCTCGATAGCTATTTAATGTGGTGTACAGAATCTTGCTACAGGAGTGGTTGAAAGGAATTAGCATTTCATTGAGTGAATATTGAGAGAGGTGTCTGTGCGATTTGGAAAGAAATAATAGCCGAATATAGGAACACTTTTATTTACTTATCAACGTCGTTAAAAAAAATGTGCAGTTTTGAGTATTTAAGTTTGGCCGATTCAAAGTTCTTTGGATAAGGTACTAAAAAGTTACTAAGGTGAGTTGTTACATTGAATATTACGGAAATGATTTTTTTCTTCAGAATTTTGAGATTGACTCTTAAACTCATAATATTCGTATACCTTGGAAATGACCCCTTACAAAAAGGTATCCCTAAGGGATGGTATGGTTTAAGAGTTCATATTGTAAGAATCTAGGTATATATTTTAAATACATGTAAGCATATTGTTATTTCGTTCGACCTAGAGGCGTAAAGTACAATCTTTCTTTAAGTAAAAGAAATTTCATTTTTCGCAGAGTATTCTCAATTATATGGAGACATGGAGTTTCCAGATTTGGGTGCACATTGTTCTGAAAGCACTTGTAATCGCTTGGACTTTTTATCATTGAAATGTGACGCCTGTGAAGGAATTTTTTGTACCGATCATATATCGTATATAAATCACTCCTGTCCTAGTGCATACAAGAAGGATGTACAAATACCTGTTTGTCCTCTGTGCAATGCTCCAGTTCCTTCAAAACGAGGAGATCCACCAGATTTGGCTGTAAATTTGCACATGGATAATGATTGTAAATCAGATTTTGGGAAGACTCGTCGGAAAGTGTTCATTAATAAATGTTCTACGAAAGGTTGCAAAATCAAAGAAATAGTTCCAGTAAGATGCAGTGACTGTGGACAGAACTTCTGTCTAAAGCATAGACATCCTACAGATCATGGTTGTGAAGGAAAGGATGAAACGATCAGATTGAAAAGGACAGAAGCTTTAAACAGACAATCTAAAATCAAAAGGCAACCTAATAATACCGATAATGCAAGAACCTTTAGGAACCTTCAGGGAACGATAAGCGAAGACGAAGCTTTGGCTAGGGCTTTACAAGCATCGTTGCAAGATGAAGACAGAACTCGAAGACAAGAATTACAACCGGTACCTTCAGGAAGTCGAGATAGATGCAGGCTTTCTTAACTTCTTTCTTGAGGATATTTTTGAACTTGTCAGAAGCTGTTTCACATTCTTCCTATTTATTATTAAGCACAATGAACTGAATTTCTTCTACTTTATAGATATAGAGTTGGTGCTTGTAAAATTTTTATCTTCATATTCATGATAAACTAAAAAAAAAAACATTTAATGTTAGCACAAATCTAGTTTCTGAAATTGCTTTGACATCTGAAATTAATAAAAATGAAAGAGCACTGTATAGGCAGTGTCAACGTAGAGTGCCTTAATAGGACAATTTATCTCGTATATAGATGTAAAGATCATTGTTTATTGTTCTAAGTGTATGGAGCATCAGCAAAAAGTGTCCGAAATAATAATGGTCCGTTTGGACGAACAAGATTTGTCTAGATTTTCAAGTATATCTTTAGGTAGTTTGTTAATTAATATGTTTATATTGGGCAGAATTTGCTTACATCGTCAATTACTACTGATACATGCTATTAAATCATAACGATTTTGGTGTACTGACAAACAATAATTACATAATTAAGCAATTTTATATCGTAAAATGTTTGTACATTATATATTTAGTAAGCCCATTTTTGTCTATTAGTTATGCAGATAGCTACATGGAAAGTGTATTGTATTATGATTGTATTGTACCTTGGAAATGAAAGAACTTATTAATGCTTCAAAACTTGGTACATATATCCAGTTTTTATAAATATCAAAGATTTATCTTTGGTCTTCTTACATATCATATCAAGTACAATAAAAGCTTTGTAGGTTCTTTTGTAATTCATTAGACAGTTTGGTGATAATTAATTCTTTCATCTTTACTTTTTACTTTACATCTACACTTTTTAATAATAACTTATATGTACATTCCTGACGTATTTATTAATAAAAAATGTAATTTCTAATGTAACTCACTTTATCTGCTTTGTAAATATACATTATAAATGGACATTGACTTAACAAAAAATACTTGAAAATCCTAATGAAATATTTAAAATCCAACCTTTCCAAGTTTAGTATCAGTTTTAGGATTGGCAGTAATATTTTGAACACTAACAATTGCTTCATTAATTTTAGTCTGTAACTCTCTCAAATCATGAATATATAACAACCGAAGAACCTTAGCTGCATTGTTCAAAACTGGATCACCCATGTTAAAACCTAAATCAACATCACCGATGGGAAATGGAGTTCCTTTAATAACAACTGTGTTTGGATTCTGTATTGCATTTGGATTTAACCTTTTGCATACTACTTTGCTGCAAGCCTCCAAAGTAATTAGATGATTAGGATGTTGTGGCACTTTAAGTATTTTTGCAATTGCATTCACACCACTTTTAAAGTCTTCACTGTAAACTGTGATACAAATTCAATTATTGAAAGTTCTTAAGTATCTTAATTCTAAGTAATAGGTTTATCGGTACATACAGTTCAAATTGTCTAACGGATTAGTGGACTTAACACTCGGAACTACAGTTGACTTCTCCTTTACTTTTTCAATTGTCACTTCTTGATATTTCTTATCTGTATTACAACAAATAAGGCCATTGTAGTCGAAGAATAATAATAGGTATAAAATAAAATATATACATATCGACTCCTTACGATCATCTTCATATTCTAATCTAATAGCAAGCCCAATCAACCATTCCAGTTGGTCCAGAGGAGAAGAAACAATTGGACATGCCACATTATTACAATAGTCCTGAAAAACTTTAATCCAATCTTCGGATTGAATGTTGCGCAAACATTCCCTGTCCTCTATTTTGTAGTTGCGTATCTTCTGATCTTCCAGCCATACAACCAGTTTACGAAAATGCTCAGGATCTGAAAAGCATTACTTTTTAATACTACGTTAATTCCTAATATTTCGAGGTTAGAAATTATTATATGATTTGAAAATACCATTTCCATTCACTTTGTCCCAATCCATGTAATCTAGTGCCTTTAATTTTCGTTTAAACATTCTTACTATAAGATTATAATTCTAAGTATTAAATTAAATATACAATTACTAATACTAGTTAAATAGAATATATCGATTGTGATTTTTAGATGTGATGTTGAATTAAGCAAAAATTATCTCGATGTAATTCGAAATTTTACTAAAGTTGTTTATAAATACATGCTTTCGTACAGTGACTACGAGTTAGTATTTACATTTAACGTTTTACAAATGCTTTCACTAACACAAATCCGACCTGCAATTCGCAAAACCATGGACATAAGAATATATGGACGGAGCTCGAGCCATGAATTCCGACGTTCGAGACTTACTCCACCATCCACTAGTTGGCACCACGATCGCAGATTATATCTATCTCTTTCGCACTTACAGGATCAGTGCGAAAGAGAGCCAGTGCCAATTCCCGTAACCGTACCTATCATTTTCTTCCCCTTGGGTTAGGATGATAATTTATATATTTTAGACATTTTATTTATATCAGCAGATACAGTCAATATACGTATATGCGATAAAGTTCCCGGTTGATGACATTCTCAAGGCGATTAGGAAAGCATAATAAAATGAGGATCACAAGTAGAAAGGTCGCCGATTCGAGGCCCGTGACGTCAGCGACGTTCAACGTTGTCACGCTTGCACGGTTCGTGACTCCTTTGTTTCACCTTTGTCCCACGTGGCGAACAAGAGTGGAAATGCACATTTTTCTCGGCTCTCGATCCCGATTGCCCTGCAGCTGCAAGCCCCCGCGGAAATTAAACGGACTTCCATGTGCACGGGAACAAAGTGCCGGAAATTAAGGTGATCCACTGTTCGGTCATTCCTCTCGGCGTTTGCCGAGGAACGTACCCGTGCCACCTCGATGTCACCGTTTCTCCTTGACTAATCCAAAAAAAAAAAAAATGCGGGGCTACCCGACACTAGCGATGTCACTTTTTACACCGAATCTTTATTTCCCACGAGGAATATAAATCGAAATTATACCCGATTCTAATATAAATTATAAAAATTATATTTATTTAGTTGAATCTTCAAATGACTCGTTCACGTGCGAGAGTACTCGACTGTCGCAAGTCTCGATAAGGAAGGTAAACGCATCCAGCGGATAATAGCATTGTCAATTATTACGCTCACTTTCCTTACATGCGGACTTTGGAAGGAAGAACCTTTGTTCGTTTGTTCCTTTGAGTTCCTTTCTATTTTCGTACGACGCGCGGTGTACGTGACCTCGGTGACTGGCCAAACACTGTTCGAATCACAACGATGATAATATTCTGCCCTTGAAGTTAAAATGGAATAAAAGAAGTACTCTTAATAACGATCACCTGCCTCGTTATATCTCCGGATGAATCTTTCTCCTGAATATTATTCTTTGCGCGTCGCGGCCATGTCGCTTCCTTGATTCCGCCATTTTAACTCTCGAGGGCAAACGTTGAGATTCTCATAGTCTCAATGACAATTACAATGGCGGTAATGACGATGGGAACGAGTACAATGACTTCTGGAAGTTCTCAAGGTTTTCCTTTATAAATGGCAAGGATTATTAAAAAAATATACATATCTGTAATGCCAGCGGATCTCTTAATTCGACAAAATATTCTTACATGCGTTTCAGTGGATTCGTTCACCCCGTCTCATATATGCGTATAGTGTAAATAGTGTTTGTTGAATCGACATGTTGGATAGGATGAATCGACCTTAATTGTTCATCAGTTCCTATTCAATTACAGCTTCCATCCCGTATATGTATCTCTATACACGGGACAAAGGTGCAGGAGGGTTGTCTCATGGTTCAAGGTAAAGTTTGACTTCACTTAGCCATTACGTGGAAGTAATTAAGTATTCCGTACCGAGTCCTCCAAGGGAATTTATTATTCTTCGCAGGAGCGCGATTTGTTTTCCGTGTCCCGGTCTGCGACGGATTTCGTCCTGCAGTTCGCTCCAAGGTCGCTTATAAATACTTCCTACCGTTTCATGCCCGAATGTAAGTATGTGCCAGAAAGTACCGCGATGATAACGATTGAAAAGTGAAAAATTGCCTCGACTTCGTTCGGGATATTTTAGATGATTTTTATGTGGTAAATGCGGAAGGAGGTTGTTGTATCTCATCGACAAGAATTTCACCCGCGAGCATGTGCAATGAGTACAATAATATCTTTCTCTGTGCAGGTTTTAGATAATTCCGAACTCGGATGGTTGCTGAATTTCCTAGGAAATTTTGCAACGTGAGGTACAATGGTATCGGTCAATGCAAATGAGCGGTTAATCGTTCCAGCTTGGCAAAACCACTACTCGACGTCGAAGACTAGTTTTGTAATGATATCTGTCGGGTTTCTCCCTCTTCGAGGACATCGTGAATCTACCGGGTGTGGCACGTTTAAAAGTGAACATTCCCGGGTGCTGGCTCAACCGGTCGTCAGTGCGGCACAGTGTGGAGTTGGACTTGGAACCGATCGGACACGATCGGTGCATCGCTCCTGCAGTTGATCAGACTTTCTCCGAGATGCTGAGGGAAACGCTCGTCGTTTTCGCGGCCTTTCTCGCCCTGGCAGCTGCTACTCAGGTCAACCAATGTGGTACCGGTGTGTATCGTCGAGCTTTACAAAAATTCTGCGTCCTTCCGCCAAGTGGTAGTCAAATTACCGATGACTCGTAACGTATCGTTACTCGTGACTCGCAACGAAAAGGGAACCCTGCTCTCGATGCACCGGCGTCGATCGTTTTGTAATCTTCTTTCGGAATTGGGTGTTTTTTTTTTCTTTTTTGATGCGCGATCCTGCATTTTGCATTCGGACCACTCTCCGAGTGGATAGAAATTTCTGAAAAGTAACGAAGCGACTATGGTGAAAACTTACCGCTCACCAGCGTGTCCTTGAAAATCAGCTCCGTCGAAGGAAACTGGTCGACCTTCCTTTAATGGTCGATCCGACGAGTCGTGGCCCTAACTCTAAGATTTCCTTATCAGTCCGTACATAAATGATCGAGCCCCCCGATAACAGTTCTAATAAGAAATGTTTAAATATTAGTAAAATTGTTTATTTGTAGCTCGATTGGCTTCGACGATTTTAAGCACGATCGTTGCGTTTCACTTGCCCTTGATTGTTCCTATTTCACCAGGAATATTTTGAAGCGTTGAAGGCGTACAATCGGAGTCAACCGTATCTCTTCTTAAACTCCAGTCTTCTCTCCGTGGCGTCGATTCGGGACTGCTCATACTAACGTGCAACTGCATCGTGTACTACCACGCGTTGCTGCACTTTCATGGAAATCGAGTTGCATGCCCAACTATCGCTTGCGCGTCCGAGGAATACACGTCCGAGTTTCGAAATCGATAGTTTGCCATATACGGTTGCTACACCTCGACTGGCGGCCCTTTATTTATCATGGAATTATAATCATTCCTCTCTGAGGAAATTAGACAATTTTATTACCCTCCGCGAGTTCAGCGTAAATTCGAAAAATCGAATTGAACGAATGATCGGCCCCATTTTGTGTTTAATTTGTTGGACACGTGTGTTTTTGCGCTCGGTGTTATGTATACATATGTTTTATGAAATCTGGCAATGGACGGGGTAATGATATCAAAAATTGGCGAGACAGGTCTCCTTCGCCCGTTAAGCTCCGAATTAACTTGAAAATCAAGTTAATCCGGCGGTTGAGCTCTTGGTTAATTCATGACTGGAGAATTCGTACCATCGCGTGCTGGCCTCGGGATTTCCTTCCTTCGTGCTCCTCGGCTGTACTTGCTGCGCCCTGACCCAAACGAGTTCCCGTCGTTTATTAGTAACCCGTTAATTAGTACTTATCGTGCACCTTCGCTCACCGAGACGAGCATTCGGGAATATCGGAAACGGGATTATTCAACGTCGCTTCAATTGTGCTCCTTCTTGAGAAGGATGAGTCGAGATAACGTGCGCAAGGGTCGCCAAAGGAATTTTCGGCGGAACGAAATTTTCTTCCTTGGCAGGATTCTCTTTTGCCTACTATTCTCCCAAAAGCTCCGGATCTTAGATCGAAAGTCCTTTTGTCATCCTTTAATTGGCCGTCTTGGAAATGCCTACGTGACGAGTGGAGATTACAATATCGCAACTATTCGGCCGCTCTCTTAATGTTTTCCTTCGGCTCGACTTTATGGCATTCCAAGAGTCAACGGACTATGGACGTGAGACGTGTGTACACGTTACTCAACAATTTGAAAACTTCTCGGTACATATCCTGACACGGACTGAGGACTTCCCACGCGAAGCTTTTAAACGTATTCCGGAAGGAAAATTATTCCGACTTATTAAATGCAGTTGTCGAAGTCTATTGTTTCCCTGACGATACGCGACGATAGTCGATAGGGAAATGCGGAGGGAAAGAGATATCGAGGTGACATTTTGCAGGAAGACGCAAGTCACATAGTGAATTAGGCAAAACGACCCAACGATCGGCAAAGCCTTCTCGGCAATTTCCGCGATCTCGTAACTCTTGGAACACTTTACGGTCGTCGGAGACTTTACCGCGCAATTTTCCGAGAACCGGGCATCGCCTGGGAAAACGGGAAACCGGGGAAACGGGAAAACGAGCTCCTCGTGCACGGATACACGACGCGGAAAGCGCGAATCTGCACTCCGAGAGGAACCGCGAGATTCTTTTTACGATTGTTACAATAGAGTCGTTGTCGAATTATCCAACAATTGCGATCGCCTAGTTAAATAAGCAATTCCACCAGGTGCTTGAATATTTTAATGTCTGACTAAATCATCTTGATGTGCCTTTGTAATGACTTTTTTTTTATAATGAGATACGAAACTTTATAAGAAATCCTGATTTTGCAATTATCGAGTTGTTGTCATGAACTGGTTTGTACGTACACGTAGGTGTTACTTGTCGGTACCTTGTGATTATGTGATTACCGAGCAAAGTTCAATGTTTTTCACATCGCATGACGAAAACTCGTCGACGTCGTACTTCTTGACATTGGCCTTCATTTTTTTTCTGACAACCAACTCCCGAGTTGTGCAATGAAATGTCCGCTTATCGTTTACCGACCAATTCGAGTCTTCGTAAGATGTTATTTCCATTGAAAACCAGCGGGTGCAGAATGGTAATTAACCTACACTTCGACATAATTGCACGCTGCTTTGTCAACGGAATGTCATAACAACGTGCATCATACATTGAATTATTACGGGAGAATATCATATTTGGATCAGTTGCGGTATAAACAAATTTTCGCAATACCCTCAGGCATTAATGATGTATTAACAGTCACCGGAAAATTCACGGGTACAATATAACGCCGTGAATTATGGAAATTGATCGGCAGTAAGGAATTAAATACTTTATGGATATATGATAATGCCATCAAAATTCGAGTCCTGAGATGATTTCGAATGAGCCGAAGTACGGTGATACCTTTGTAATTTGGCTGACCTCTTCCCGTAACTACTCGATTTACGGGGGAAATGTAATTGACTGGAGTTCGATCGTTTCAGGGAGGCGATATGATGACACCGACGCGGTCCAGATCTCCGGATGTAGCGCTCCACCGTGCATCTTGCGTCGCAAAACAAGCGTTCTTGTCGAACAAAAATTTGTGCCAGACCATGACGTACAAAACTTGAGGACTTCGGTGCACGCTACTATTTTGGGACTCCCATTGCCTTTCGTCGGCGTAGACGGAACCGACGCTTGCGGCAACGTCTTCAACCTGGATGGCACCCCAGCTGGTTGCCCCCTGAAGAAAGGCACCGAATATCACTACAAGAGAGAATTCCCGGTTCTGGAAATTTATCCAAAGGTACTCCCCCGGTTGTTTTCCTACGACTGGATGATTTATAAAAATCGAAAAGGTGGCTTTTATCCGAAGTAATTGTCGTGTAACTTCAAGTGGGTTTGTTGACACTTTGAAAAATTTCATTAAATCGGGATGCCGATCCATGGTCATGGATAAGAATTTTTCAAAGTACGTTTAAAGATGCAAATATGATGCGAGGATTGTTTCAATTGTTTACGCTGCTGCATTGAACATGACAGGGATTTTGTCACATTCAACGCCCCGTGTATTTTGACAGACTTTCCGTTATCGTCACGTAAATCGTATTATTGTTAAAACGTGTTTTGCATGTCGGTAACCGGTGACTGCTGCGATGTAAGCGGAAAGCTCAGTGAGGGTTATTGCTGACCCTTGTGACGTTGAATGTGCTATCAAGCGCGGTGATAACAAGGAAAATCTATTGCAGGTTTCACCCGTGGTTTACTGGGCCCTGACAGAAAATGATAATCCGATCACTTGCTTCGAAGTGCCGGCAAAAATCACATAATCATCGAGGTGGGACGTCGAAGAATATTCAGATGCCAGTTTGGGAATATCATTCCAGAGGATTTGGAGATCTTGAAATTCGAGATGTCTTCACAATTAAGGAAAGAGCCGATGAAGAAACGACGGAAGCGTCATTTTTATTAGAGGAACAGCCGCATGCACTGTACATTATAGAATAAAAGATTTTGTAATTTTCAAGCATTGCGATGAAATTTCCAAACGGAATTTCCTATTCCGAATTTCCGAATCGGTACTGTCATTTGGCGATGAGTCAACATTTGATAACGATTAATCCGAACAATTATAAAAATCGAGGTGGAATTTTTCTCGGACGTAGTGACGATTCTTTTCGTTCCTCGGCTCATGCGGCCGAAAAATCGATCTCCTTTCTTTTCCGCAAAATCGTTTGCCTCCTCTCATTACCGAGCGACGGGGTCTAACCTCGATGTTAAGTCCTCTAACACCGCGGCGAACCGGCCCTATCTAGCCCGTAAGACAATCGATCACTCCAGGGACTTCAGAAACAACCAACGTACACGCGATCTCACGAGTACATAGGGCCAGGGTCCAGTTACTACGTAAACTCCCGTTTACCCGGAAAAAAAAAAAAAACCAACGACACCATTCTGGGTTACCAATTAACCGTAGCACGGAGCGGACTCATTGAAATTCCATTTACCGCAATCAAAAAATCCCCAATGTAATGACCTATGTAAACGACAAGAACAAATTGCTCGCTCCAAGGGAGAACTATTTGGATGTTCACCTAGTAACTTTTCGATTACACTTTATTCATACATATACCCTCGGTCCCGGTTCGTCATTGATTTTGATTGGTCGGGGTCGGCGACACGTGGCGCTCTCTCACGCGAGACCAGTCGAGTTACCGGGGTATTGTTTACTCTTTGCAGGTCTAATTTAATAGTTATATAATCTCCTGGTCGAAGAGAAGCTCCGGTACGCAAGAGACGCAGACACCTCGGACGGTATTCGTCCGTTCCGGTGTCGGTCGGCCCTGCGATTGGCCGAGGGCTGCGCGTAGGTCTGGCGGCGCTGCCACGGCGGGCGGCTCTTTGCGCCAGTACGCCGTCCGCCGTCGGCCGCGCACGACGTCACGGGGTGGTTCCGTCGCGCCCCCTCGCGACGTCGCGAACTCTCCGTCTCGACACCGTCGAAAAGTGGAAACGCGTCGACCGGTAGTGCCGCGTAAGCGTCTCGCGGGATCGAATAATCCTTAGGGAGATAAAAAGGAAAGACCGAACCGCGTCCTGGTCCACGTGACCGCCCTAGGAGATAGCACTTCCCGAGTGATCGTGAAACCATGGGCGAGAAGACCGCGCACCCCATAAGGGCCCGGAAGAGGGGGCGAAAGTGAGAAAGAGATGTTACCCCTCGCGCGGAAGAGGTCGATGGACTTTAGAGAGGACTGATTCTACTCTCCCCGCCTAAACGCGCGGAGAACCACGAAGGCGAGGAAACCCTGCCGGGGAGAGATCGTCGGGCAAGATGGCGGCGATCGGCCGCCGGGAAGACCCCGTGGAGTGAGAGAAGAGGTCGAGGGTCTCGGGGGTGAAGTTGCCGCGAGTGGACAGCGATGGGGGCCGAGGGGGGCTGCTGGTGGTGGCGCGAGGGCAAGAGGAAGAGCGGATCGCACCCGCGGAGCCGCGGCCGCCGAGACCACCTTGAGCGGGCTTTAATTGGAGCACTTTAATTTCTTCGGGGCACTTGGCGCCAGGAGGGGCTCGAGGAAGCCGAGGGAAGGCCCCCGCCGCGGCCGATGCCGGTTCGAGGCGGAATCGCGAGGGCCATCCGGGGGTCGCCACCCGCAGGAGGAAGGGCGCCTTAATATTGCCGATTAATCAGCGCGAGGGACCCATTCCGCGGACTCGGCCGCGGGAGAGCGGAAACGACCTCTCCGACCTCACCGAGAAGAATAGGAATTTTCGAGGCTCCGAGGTGCCGCCATTTTGGGACTCGAGGAGACCCCTCGACCAGTGGCGAGGTCGGCACTCGGCCGGACAAAGCGGATATTATTTACCTCGCAACGTAAAAAAATCTCGGCTATCGACGAGACGAGGACGATCAGAGACATCGACCCTGAAGACGTTTTCTAATTGCGCGGACAATTACCGCGAGGTGGGGAGAAATTAAGACCCCCGCTCGAGGATAGGGGGAAGCCGACCTTGATAGAGCTTCTCGAATCGAAGGACCCGATCCGGTCCCCTAATTAGCAAGCGTTAATTGGCCGCCGTTAATAGAGCTATAGCGAGCTCGGGTCTGTCCACCCCCGCGACCGCCTCGGGATACATGTGCAACCCGTGAGGAACCCCGCGGGATTCGGCTCACCGAGTGGAGGCGCCACGACGGAAGAGTACGAGGAAAGGAGGAAACATGCGGATCACGGCGCTGATTCTGGGACTGATCGAGGCCGTCGCCCGCGTCGCCAGTCTCGACAACCCGGAGAAATTCGGTGAGTACTGCCGACTAATTAGCGATTCCTCTCGAGGTCGACGCTCCGGGACAGGGTGAATCATTCATCCCCGACGCAGCCAATTAGACCAAGCGAGCTCGGGGACCTCCTCGCCAAGGCGGGGGTCCCGGAATCGTTCCTACCATTATTCGATTAGATTCCGAAAGTTTTGTCTCATGCGTTATCGCGGCTTTTGACGTTTAACGCTTGAGGTCTTGTTTTCTGATGATATTTTTTTTTTCCTTTGGGTGTGTTTTAGAGCACAGATTTTGCTGTATAGTTTGGGAGTTGCGAACGGAGAGCGGGATTCGGTAAGGAGGGGTCGAGGCAAAGCTTTACGCGGCTATCCTCAAATACCGCACTTGGATCCGCAAGGGTTAACTATTTGCCGACGTCCGGCTCTTGTCCGGACACTGTAATGGACCAAGCTCGGCCCCTGTCACGGGTAAAAACCGCACGGCCAGGACGTCCAGGAGGGACGCGGATGTCGCGCTTCTCGTTCGACGGGGGAACGTCACGGAAAAAAAAAAAGAAAAGAAAAAAACCGCGCGACCGACGATATCAATCCCGCGAGCTGGCCCCCCGTTTAACGCTCTACGCATATTACGTTCACGTGGTTCGTTCGGTGAAACGATAATTGAATGGAATCGCGGCCATCTTGGAGCCGTGCTATCGAGGTTCGGATATCGAAAACGCAGGCGGATGCGGTTACGCGTTTACCGGGCCGCTGGCGGGCGCTATTGCGGCATAAAATTTCACGAGCGAGCCCTGGCCCCTGGCAGACGTGAGCTCGCGCCAGGACGCCTCTAGGATATCCGGGGCCATCCGGGGATGCCCATCTAGAAGTATCCGGGGCTATTCGCGACCAGGGCGGTCCCCACCTTCCGGGATGGGAGCGCGAGCCACGGGGATTCCCTCCAGGTGGAGGACACCCGGAAGACCCGCGAGCGGCGTCGCGTACCCCGGCTTCGTTATCTCCCGGCTCGCAAATCCGGGACCTTCCAATTATTTTTACCCTCCCGCCGACACGGGGGCCGGGCTTCTCGCTATTTCCCCTGGCGAGATTTCCGCGACATTCGGACGGTTTTTACCCCCGAGCCTCCTCTTACCCAGGAACTGCCGGGCCCCGGAGATTAACGCTTTACGATAAACGCCGGGGCCAACCACCCGGACGGTATATCGGTCCCGCCATTATCACGGATTTGACTTCTATCGCTAAATCATGGACGCGGTTAACTCCGAGGATAGGGTGCAAATTGATCGGTTCTTAGACCTCGATTTTGCGGGAGATCAAATCGGGTTCGAGCTCGTCGTGGAAATAGGCTTGCCAATTTAAGTAAAAGTGTCTCCGAGAGGATCGCCTTCTCTGGGGAGAAGCGGAAGTCTCTGCGGCTTTTTATAGGATCGATGGTACTCGGTTATTGAGGTCTTTTGCCGGTAATAACGTTATTTCGGTTATACCGAGATTTATCTTTGGGAAAAAATCCACGGCGAATTTCGGAGAGGAGGGTAAAGTTCGACCGCGGACTCGGCATTCGATGCCTATTATGGAACGCCGCATTGTGCGATGCACGGATTCGCGAGCTGGGGGTACATATGTGCACCGCTGCCATATAAGTTGTTCAGACTTTTGCGGGTTCTCGATACATGTTGGGTTTTCGAGTTTATACGAGCGCAGCTTGAATTCCTTCTGAGGAGTATTAAAAATATATGCTTTCGCTGAATCCAACGTATACGGATCTTTCTATCGAGGTCGCGGCACTTTGTAATCTCGGATTTTTTGGGGTAGATTCGAGAGCTAGGGGGGGTATGCTCAAAGCGGGTGGGTTACTTTCAAAAGTAATGAAATAAATTTAATCGACAATCTTTCATTTTTATTGTTTCTTTCATGTTTATATAGTCCATTTAATTAAAACAAACGACTCCTGCTTGCTGTCGGACCCGAGGAAGAGCACGCGTCCGAGCACGTGTAGTGCTCCGCAAAGTTGGAGGCTCTTTTATTGCATGCGTATTAAAAGGGTCGAGGTGAGAAGGCGGCGAGGGGCTCGCAATGGTCGAGGCTCGTTTCCGCAGTTCGGAAACTTAAGGGGAAGCTCGCTTCTCTCGGGATAACAAGGGCCCCGGTGGACGGCAAGAAGTTGGGACACGTTCGCGGGACGTGGGGTCCTTCGGCTCGAGCCAAGGTGCGGGACAGGACTCCCAGGAACCGAGCTTCGTCGACCTCGGTCTACTTGGCTCTCCTCTGATACCTCGAGACACGTCGTGACGCTCTCGTGGACGCCTTGCACCAAAGCCGATTCGGGTTACCTAAGAATTCCCTCTTTAACTAGGCTTCGTTTCCAATTTTTCATATCATTATTTCAGACGATTCGTATTAGACTTATTAAAGACAATTCCAAGTTCAGCTCGATCGGGGTTGACTGCTGTTCGGTGGTTTGCAGGCGTCTTGTGGCAACACTCTTCACGGTTGGTGCCTCCTCTCCCTCTGAAGAGGACGAATTCGCGTTTTCTCACCATCCCATGGGGAATCGCTCTTTCCTCCCTCTCGAGGCGAGAAGGGAAGATCGGAGGAACGTATTTTAACGGAATGTGGGTTTCTCTGGGATAGGGTGATCGTCCGTTAGGACAATAAGTCCGGACTCAGAGGAGAGGAATAACACCTACCTCGGCTTACTTAGTCTCTATCGAATATGCCGAGCTCTTGCTGCGTCTTCGCATGCATCTTGGACCAACATTTTCTTCTCTTGGTCCTCCACCCTCCACGGTTCAGGTGTCGAGTGGTATCATTTTTTACCCTTTTCGCTGCCATATTCCATCGAACCCCCTTTCGTCTTCTCTCTTCCTTTTCCTTGAACAGAATTCCAATTTCTTTTTTCATGCAATTTTAGAAACGTGCCTTCGTCGGCCTGTTTCAGTCGCCAAAAGTGGAATCTTACGTCCCGTGAATTCTTTCTTCCTATTCTCCTATCTTTATCTCCCATCTTTATTGAAACATTACTTCTGGAGCATGGGCTGAAATTGATTTAAAATCTGCGGACAATTTGAGATATTTCGCGATGGAAAAAGAGGGAAACGACACGGCGATACATGCCGAAGAAGGGGATATGGAATGAAAACGTGCCGAAAGGAGATACAGGTTAGGAAGTATCGTTTCTCCTGCGGACGTCGAATCCAATATTCCTCGGAGCATCCTGGAAACGGCGCGAGGTGGAGAGAAATCGAAGGAAGAGCAGGCAGAGACGGGAGATGCTCGATTTTTCCGGGATGCATGGCGGTGGCTTTTAGAGGCCGATCTTGCCGGGCAGACAGTTATAAACGGGATGTCTTATAACTGTCAGCGAAACGATTCAGGGTCCGACAACTTAACGTCAGGTTCTTTTCCCTCGCCTTCTGAATCGTTTCCGCGACAGTTCTACCGAAGTTTGTCGATGGAAAAAATTGACACTTAGAGATCTCTATTTCTCCTAAGCACTTTTTCACGAGTATATCGTGAAAAATCGGCGGAAACCCGAGGAAGCCCATTTTCTTGGCCGCGTAAAATCCAGCGGGAGTCATCGGAGAAAGGCGGGCCTTTAACCGTGTCAAGTACCTTTCGTCCCGTCCTGTATCTCTGCCTCCCTTTCTTGGTGCGGTTCCAAAATTTTTTCTCCCTCCCCCGAGAGTGTTTTCTTTTTCCCCCTCGACCGTCCCCGCACTTCTCCTTCCGTTCCTCTTACGTGGAAAGTTTACCGGGACATGTTTCCCCTCTCTCTCCCCTTCGCGATTCGGCTTCTCTTTAAGTTCGGCCCCCTCTCGGCGTCCCTTTGTTTCGACGGTTCGTTTCGCGGAACATCCGCGACGGCTTTTTTCGGTCTCCCTTTAAGGAGCCTTTCCGGAAGAGTTGCATCGCCCTCTACCCCCCGGGTTCTCCGCGACCAGGCTCCGGAACCGCCTTCCACGGTCGGCAAGAAGAAGACGCATCACCGGGCGTCTTTTCTTTTTATCTTTTATCGAACGCGGTCTGTATCGGCCGCGCGGCCCGGGGTATAAATGGAATCGCGAGCGTCCCGGAGCGGAAGAGCTACCGGAAGGGGAGCGGAATGGGACGGGCGAAATCCCGGCGGATGTGCCCGGGGAGTTGGCGCGAATGATACTCTCGGCAATTTGCGCGCGAACCGCGACGGGGATTCCGCGCTCGGTATAATCCCGCGGCAGATCCCGAAGGCGGTTGCGCAACGCGGACCGAGTTAATTTCAAATTAACGCCCGCGTTTTCGGCAATTCGGAGATCTGTCCGCTGGTTATGGGTATTATTATCGGATAGATGCCGCGGATCACAGTCGCGATTACCGTATCAATAGCGTTAACTTATGGACCGCGAGTGGTCGCCCCCTGAAATGCTCCGCACGCTATAAGGCGTCCTTTCAGGACGCGGAAATAATTTTTAACCCCTGTAATTTCCTTGTTCTATATCTTGCGCTATTAGAAGTACACCTTGCTCCAGCTTAACATTTTACGCAACCTTTGGGTCTACATTTAGCCTGTGTATATTTAATACGACGCAAACCCACGTTTCGTGTTTACCTCTGACCTACCGAGGTGGTATCATGCTCGACGCTATTAATAAGTTAAATCGCTACCAATTTCAAGAACCGCGTCCTTTGGCTCTGACTCCCCTCGAGCGGAGTATTTCTCCGCTGGTCCCCGCTCCCATTTATTAATTTTGGAAAAAAAGATTTAATCTGCATTTCTCCTTATGGGAAGGAAAAAAAAAAAAGAAAAACGTTTCAACGGGGCTGAAATCTTCGGGGGCGAGGGGATGGGGTTGAGGTTCCCCGTCGAGATATAGGCCGAGGAACGAGGTCCACCCCCTTAATCGAATGGTCCCTCTGGCAAAGCTTCCGTGCCGATTCGCGGTCTACCTTATCGACACGCGTCCCCGACCGTCCCATCCCCCGTCGCGCATATCCGTCTACATTACACTGCATAATTCATGCGCTTGTCGTATGCGCGCGCCAGCCG